ATGTATACTATATATATCTGTGTTATACAGACTGATGACATATAAAATTATGTATACTATATATATCTGTGTTATACAGACTGATGTCATATAAAATTATGTATACTATATATATCTGTGTGTTATACAGACTGATGACATATAAAATTATGTATACTATATATATCTGTGTGTTATACAGACTGATGTCATATAAAATTATGTATACTATATATATCTGTGTTATACAGACTGATGTCATATAAAATTATGTATACTATATATATCTGTGTGTTATACAGACTGATGACATATAAAATTATGTATACTATATATATCTGTGTGTTATACAGACTGATGACATATAAAATTATGTATACTATATATATCTGTGTTATACAGACTGATGTCATATAAAATTATATTTGCATATCCACTGCTCTCTCCCACTATGAACATGTAGTCATCTACTGCGTTCATAGGACTATAGACGCAACTGCTTCTACTATGAGTGCAATTGCTCTATCACTCTTGTGTAGAACAATCTCTATTGGAGTTATACAATGTGTTGAGAAGTATATATATGAAATGTTTCGTAAGAGGAATAAAAATAAGTTTTTAATAATATTCTTTGAAAAAAAAGGAATTTCAGAATATTGAAAATTGCTGATTTACATCTTTAAGAATTCAATTTTAGTCAACGTATTTAATTGTATAATAAAACTTTTCAAAAATTGTAGAGAACTGTATATTTTTATTTTTTCGTATCATGTATATTTGTACAAAGAACGATAACTCTTCACACTTGGGTAATAACATTCAGAAAGAGAAAATTTCTTTAACTAGTATAACGTTATCTATTTCAAGAATGATTTCAGCTATTAAAAATAAATAGAAAACTAAAAAAAAAAATCATAGAAAAGCATTCTGGAGTAACAATCATTATAAAAGCATTCTCATTTTTCATCATATAGGATAGTGTTAAATTATTGATTTTTGTCGGAGGGTTTCAATAACGTTGATCGATGACGTCACAACTGCATCAGAACTAAGAGAATGTGATGACGGCGCTGCTTGTATCCAGATAACTGTGTTTGAGAGGGAAATACTTAATATATTCTTTGTGATTTATTAGAGAAAAGGATCATTGATCAGGTGTACTGATTTTAAAGCCGTATGATTTTCATTACTGAAGACAAGAAGCCGCGTCCTTATGTAAGTCAGGATTTCCTCTGATATTCTTGAAAAACTCAAAGAATGCAAATATAAGTAATAAACAACGATTATTCAGTGAACATGGCATTATGAATAGCAATAGCTCTGGTGGCATATTTTCCATGATGCGCTAGCGCGCATCATGGAATATGCCAGCAGAGCAATTGCTATTCATAACGCCATGTTCACTGAATAACGTTGTTTATTTCTTAAATGTACTGTTATATATATCTGTGTTATACAGACTGATGTCATATAAAATTATTACTACAATGTTTAACTGCCAGTCACGTTACCTGTAACTCCATGAAGATACTGGTTCCCCTCTATCAACTGGTCCACCATTGCTGCGTAGTGGGCATTAGCTTCGTCGTTCATCACCCATCCTCCCGTCGCTATCTCTAGTTGTCCGTCATTAATCAAACTGAAATATAGACAAAAAATCAAAGTAATGAATGGTCTGAAAGTCAACTTGCTTAACATGATCATCATCTACTCCCCCCCCCCCCCCCACACCCTCGTGGCTTTCTCTAGCTGTCCGTCATTGATAAGTCTGAAATAAAGACAAAATCAAAGTTATGAAATATCGTGACATGATCATCTTCCATATCCTTTGGCTATCTCTATCTAACCTTTAGCTATTAGACAAAATATCACAACACATTCATCCCCCCCACCCCACCGTGGCTATCTCCAGTTGTCTGTTATTAATCAGACTTAGATGTAGACAGAAAAATCAAGACATGATCATCACTCATCCTCCTGTGGCTATTAGCTGTTTCTATCTGTCCTCTATTAATCAGTTTGAAACAAAATTATTCTGCTTTTTTGATAAACTAGAAAACTGACCAGTCAGCAAGGGCCCGGCCATGGGGTAGAATTAAAAGGGTGCAGCTTACAAAATGATTAATAAATGTACGAAGAATAAGCAACAGCAAATGTACGAGGGTTGTCCCGTAAAATTGTAGACAAGTTGTCTACTGTGAAAAATAAACATCACTGCGTTCTGAAAGTTTCACTACTATTTAGTAAATATTTTAGTAATATGCACAGCAAATTTCAGATAAGTATATGCATAAATAGACAAATTATGAGATTTTATGCCATGTATTGTATCACCTTATGGCGCATGGATTATAACGTCAAGGGGTCTAAAACAGCGTCACATTTTATCTTTGCTGAAAATGAAGTTGAATGAGTCCGACTAAAATTAAGGAATTTCATTAATACGCATTCTTTAGTCTCCATAAACAGCTGAAGAACCAACTGGCACCCTCATATTATTTATTTAGTCTCCATAAATAGTCGAAGAACCAATTGAAACCTTCATTCGATCTTCTGAAGATTTATTAGTAAGTTACGGACAATATTCTCACCATCATTCAACTAATAGAAAATCTCATATCGGCGGTCTACTCAGACTACTGTGACAGCGTCTTTTGCTATTACATTAGGAGTTTGTCCGTATGTTTTGCATGTTTTGTACTCCCCAGGGACTCGATAAAAAAACTTCGCTAAGAAAACCCCTATTTGATTTGTAAACTTAAAGTATGGTGATATTTTTATAATCATTTTTCTTCTATGGTCAAATCAAGTCTTTAAAGGTGTCATTACAACATCGAAATAAAACTGAACTGTTCTCCGGTGCTCCGTTACGTCATAAAACGTCGCCATTTTTCGTGTGTTGTGTTAACCACTTTCCCATTTCAAATGCTTGAGAAACTGCCAAAAATCAAGCAAAATGCCTTAAAACTCTTACAAAGACTACAAAATTGACTGGGAATTGAATTAGTATAATTTTAATCCAAATCTGATGTATTTAAAACTTTTATTTTGAATTCAAACTTGTGTATTCTTTAATAAAACCTTAGATTTTTGACCGTGCGCCGTAGGACTATACCTCGTGCACATTCAAGCATAATAAAATCTTTATTTTTGCCTATATTTTATCAAAAAAATTATCATGCACTTAAATATGATAAATAAACATTTACTGAAATTTTTAGCTCAGTGCGCCCATTACTTTTCGAGAAAAACGCTTTGTCCACGATTTTATGGGACAACCCTCGTATTCTTAAAATTTAAAAATAATTCCTGAATGTTCAAAAACCTGAAAATATATCTTTGTACATGTATTTACATTAGGCAGTAAAGAACAACTTAACATTGAATGTATATTTAAAAAATTATGAAGCTTTGTGTTATATAAAATGCCAGCCTTCAATGAATGCAAATATCATGAAGGCTTGACCTTAACTTCAAACAAACAGCAGTTGCAGACAAAGGTTTTCATTAATCTTAGAATAAAGAAAAGCCTACTAAATTTTCTGCAGCAGGCTAGATAATTAATCCCATGGGATTAATTGTACCTCTCTCATCAATTTCTTCTAAATTTACAATAAGAACTTTTTCAGTGCTAATGATAGAATGGGGTTTTTAAACAACTACATTAAAAATTACTTTTACATGTATTCTTGAATTAATATATTAAAAAAAGTGAAAAAAGTGAAAAAAAGTAAATTAAAAGAATGTTCTTTAATCTATTTCTTTTTTTTTTTTTAGAATTCAATGAAATCATAACTATCAAACAAAAATAAATTATAAAAAATTATATTTAAATCCACATTTCAAAGTGTTCATAGCATTCCAAATTGATTTAACTTCAAAACAAACTTCATTTGCAGACAGAGGTGGTAATTATTCTCAATGTGACAGATAAAGATAATGCTCTCGATTTTCTTCAGGAGGAAAGCTGATTAATCCCATGGGAATGCTAGCAGCATTCAGTTTACAAATAACAATGTGAACATCTTCAGCAGTTATCTATCTTTGCCAATGCATTCTTATATTAAGTTAAGGAATCTACCCCACCACCCCAGCTCCAAACCATGGGAACCAAACTTAGCATCAAAAAATGTATTTCTGCCTACTGAACTACTGTACCAAATTTGTACTTGATTGGGCAACCATAAAAAAAGTTGTCAGTTCATTCTTATGCATTATTAAGGAATCTACCCCACCACCCCAGCTCTAAACCAGAAGACATAGAGAACCAAACTTAGCATCAAAATATGTATTTCTGCCTACTGAACTACTATACCAAATTTGAACTTGATTGGGCAACCATAAAAAAAGTTATTAGAAAAAAACAGAAAATTTGTGGACGGAAGAGTGACAGACGGACAGACAGCTAGACAGACTGACGGACAGAGTGATTACTATAGGGCACCCGCAAATCCTTGCGGGGCCCTAAAAATCCAGACATGATCATTCTGCTTACTACCCATGCAACACAAAGTCTTCAGTTCCTGTCTGATGACAACTCATGCTGCTGTACATGTACATTATTTATCATGTTCAAAATTTAGCGCAGCCACTAGGTATGGGTTTGTTGGTATAATCATGAATTAGTGCTTAACATGTCCATTCAATGTACTTTAAATGTAAATGATTTCTTAGCAGTTTTCATGAATTAACGCATTGTTGTCTGCCTCAAAGCCACTATAATATGAAGCCCTATTTTAAAGTACACAATCAAATCACATGGTTATCCTTTTGTGTCTATAACACATTCACACCACTAGATTACCATTTTGCAGTGTGCATACATTCACACCACAAGATTATTGTTTTGCAGTGTACACATATTCACACCAGTAGTTTACCATTTTGTGGTGTACACACATTCACACCACTAGTTTACAGTTTTGCAGTGTACACACATTCACACCACATGTTTACTGTTTTGCGGTGTACACAAATTCACACCACATGGTGGTTACTGTTTTGCGGTGTTCACACATTCACACCACATGGTTACTGTTTTATGGTGTACACACATTCACACCACATGTTTACCGTTTTGCCGTCTCCTTTTTATCGGCGCTCAGTGACTCCCACCACAGAGAGAAGAAGGAGAGCTCCGCGTAGATAAATCGCCGTCGCTTGTCTGCCGCCAGAAAGTTAAGAACGTTGTCCAAGATTGGCTTTGTCTGCTGGGTGTAGTAGTCCATGAATTTCTTAACCCAACCTGTAAATGTTAAATCATTATTAAATTATTGTTTATAACCCAACCTGTTTATGTCAAAACAGAATACAATTATTGTACATTGGAAAATTATAACAGATGTCACCTTAAATTGTAATCTATGTAGTTTTTCACACAGCCTGTCATCTTCATAATATAAAGTGAACTTCCATATTTTTCTAAAGTGATGGGTATCTTTGTGAATCCCCCCCCCCCATTATTTTGGGTGAGAACAGTAGGAGTAGAAAGAAACAGTTATAAAACATAGTTATACTTTCAGAAATTGTTGGGTGCTTGAAACATTTTCAAGGTTACGTTTAACCATGTTAACAACATGAAGCACTTATATAATATTATTTGGGTACAGTTTAATGTCTTATATTACACAGGTCTGTGAGATGTTTAATTACCTAGTATAGTACATACCTGGGTCGGTGTGGCTGTGGGGTAACACAAACACGTGTAATATGTTGTCCACGTTCCACTTTCCCTCAGGGTAGGTAACTCTCCAGCCTTGCTTCCATGCGCCTCCATCAGGATTGTCAAACTGTAGGGTCTCGTAAACTTTTAACATCTGTAACGATATATCACATAAACACTTAACATCTGTAGTGATAAAATACATAATCTCGTTAACGCTTTTGATTTGTAAAGTTCACAGTATAAAGCCTGTGAACCACTGTTAGAATTATGTCCCTTGTTTCAAATATAATGATAAATGGAGAAAACATCTATAAACTTTTAAAACTCCATGTTTATACAGGTAACAAGAAACACTTCTTATTATCATGATATATATCAAAATTTTCACAGCAACTTAGCAGTCTACACAAATAACTCTAATTTTTCTAACACTCAAAAAAATAAATCATTGCTAAAATCTGACCAGTTAAAGTGTACACATCACATTCTCAGTGTTTTCCCTTTATTTCAAGGTAAAAGGTTAAAGTTCAGTTGTAACAGGCTAGGGGGCTGAGGTTTATGAACAAAATCTCTGTGGACTTTACAACATTTTTTCATTTTAAAGAGGCATTTTTGTCAACTGAAGGGGTCAATTTGGCCGGTAGCTGGTTCTTAGGGAAAACACTCAGGGCTCGACATTAACTCTTTTTCCTACTTGTCCATTCGGACAAGTGACCAAGATATTTACTTGTCCGAACTTCAACTTTACTTGTCCGAAAATTTTTCAATGAATGTCTTGTTATGTCAACTTGAAAACAATTAAAAATTTAAATGTGCTTGATTTATTACTGTTGTTATTGATAAATAAGACGAACACATACAAAACAAAATCTTATCTAGACTTCCTGTCCTGACAACAACATAAATGTTCGCAAGTGAATCTGTAAAATCAATCAAATATATTTTTAACTCACAAACGTCATAAGATCCACGCCATGCAATAGTATGGCTGCAATTAATGAACATCGATCCCGATCAAGTGTGAACTTACATAGCGATTCATATCGGGATCAAAATTCAGGTTTATGTACTGCTTCCGTTTTTATTTGATAAATTTTACAAAAGTTGTTTTTTATGATTATTATTATTTGAAGACTTCTTTACATAGAAAAATCACTTGTACAATCGGACAAGTGCCCAGCAATATTCACTTGTTCGAAATTTTTTTTCATTGGTACCGGACAAGCGGACAAGCGTTAATGTCGAGCCCTGACACTGCATTCCATACTGACCTGTATGTCACTTTTAGGATTCGGCCCCTCCGCCAGGCTACAAGTGTCGCCGCTCAGCTTGACCCCTCCCTTGGGGCGATACACTAGGGCTGTGTTGTCTGTGTCCTTGACCTTCTCCTCATTGACTTTCAAAAGGTCGTCAAGTTTGACCTCTGATTCCTGTTGGTCCAGAACGCTCTGTAGTTTGTTTAACACTGACTTGTCCCCCTGACTCATCGAGCGTACGTAGTCTTTGATTTCTCGGATTGTTTGTTGGTTTTTAGAAATGTCTGATCGAATCCTCGCTATCTTGTCTTCCACCAGCCTCTGAAAAAAAAGGTTTAAATATATGTTACACTGATGACACTCGTTATTCTGAAAAAAAGGGTTATATAAATGTTACACTTATTAATCATTATTCTAATTAATAATTCAGACATTTTCCTTGTGCATAAAGTATCAAAGTTATGAAAAAAGCCTGGAAAACATCAGATATTTCTGACTATTGAACTGAGAGATAATTTAATGTACTTTGGTGTGGATCGAGATTAAACTATTTTAATAAGGATTTGCTTTATTTATGTGCCAATGTTCTCTGCAGGTATGCGATAAATATAAGATAAAGCATATATAAAATCACATAATTATTATAATGGAATAATGTTCTAACTTTTATTTATCTCATACAATTTTCATTTAAAATATTAACAAAACTGAGAATTAAGGTAGTACAAAAATTAGCTACCAGCCCATCGGCCTAGTGACATTAATAAAAGCACCAGCCAGAAGTTGCCATTTACTACCCCATTTCTGAGGCCTTAAAAAATTGTTCGTTTCCTAGAACCCTACCGACCCATTCAAATTACCCCTGGGTGGATTTTTTCTTTTTCTGCCAAATCTATCTTTGTTCAATCAGAAGGACAGCTGATTCCATTTTTCATATTTAATCAAATGTCAGAGGTGGTGAAAAGTCAAGTCTCAACAGGGTCTTGTTTTATAAAGAAGTCTAAAATTATTCTTTTTCAGAGGATATGAATTGTTATCTGTGCACAGTTTTTTGTGGAAGATGGATGAACCCAGGACCTCTGGCAAATCGTGCCAGCCAGTAATCTAGCCAACTTACCTATTCAGAATATATTGACTGATTTTCATGCACCTGTGAACCTGCTGACATATCCCCTCTCAACCAGAACTCGAACCCAGGGCCTCTGGCGAACCGTGCCAGCAAGGATATGTCACTGGGTTCACAGGTGCACAGGTGCATGAAAGTCAGTTACAGACCTGCTTACCAATCTCTATGTCTCTCAGTATTTTTGACTAGATTTGTCCGTGAGATTTGGCATTTGCCAGTAAGATTTCATTTTCCATGGGTTTTACATATATTAATTTAGAACAACTTAAAGTTTCTGATAACTAAGTCGCCCACTTAGCGCAGTGGTTAGAGCAATTGCTCTAGATTCGCGAAGTAAGGAGTTGATAATTAAGTCACGGGTTGGATTCCCACTGTTAGGCGTGGAGAACAGTCCTCTGGATAAACCCAGGTCCTGTGTGGCAGTTGGTGCTCCCACAAAAAAATCCCTCCCTGCTCAATGAACCGAGTACAAGACAAAATTTGAAGTTATCAACTGGGAAGAGGTGGCATCTCCATATGAGTGAAAATTTCTTGGGAGAGACATCAAACAATATACAATCAATCTAACTGATTACTAAAACATGGTTTGTAACATGGTCTTTGTCCTTTTATACCACATCTTTTATGCAATCCAACATCACTTCTGTGTTTGAATTAATCTCTTTTTCAAGTGATTAAAAAGCTTGAAACTGAGACAGATCATAATGAAAACTAGTAAACTGTTGCTAAATTCCAGGGGTCGACACTAACTTTTAAACCATAGTTGTCAGCAGGGCTAGCCATTTCTAATTTCTACTAGCCCTGTTCATGTATTAGTTGTCCAGCAGCCAAAGGCTGGTGGCCGAGTCGCGAAGCGACGAGGGGGGTAGGTGCGGGAGGGGGTTTCCCCCTCCTGCTGGTGGGGGTACGGGGAAATTTTGAAAATAGAGATGCCAAATCCTGCATTCTGGATGTATTTTGGGTAAAAATTATATGTCACCCTATGATTGTACCTTAGACATTTTTCTATTCGAAGAAGTACACATATATATTATCATTTAGGGTATTTCAAATCACCTTTAAATTTTACAATTTTGACATACAAATATAATAATTATGATGATAAAACATGTTTGAAAATAGATTTAATAATTATTAGATACATTGTGTGTAAATGATTAAAATATTTGTTGCTCTGAGTGAGTACTTAGTAAAATTCTTAGTAGCCCTGCAGGGCAAGTTTAAAGGCATGTTTGGTAGCCCGACCTCAATATTTAGTTGTCCCGGGCCAGCGGGCTACCGTTAGTGTCGAACCCTGAATTCCAAAGAAATGTATTTCCGTATTTTCATAATAGCATAACGTGAGACATATTTTGGACTAAAAAATCCGCACAAAATACGGAGAAATTTAAAGAGTAAACAGGTCTGCAGTTACAGTGGCTGGAACGTTATTGTTGACAAACCAATCATGTAGAATCGTTCGTGCATCGTGCGTGATCGTTCGTGTAATGTGCGAGATCGTGCGTGTAACAGACTCAATCGTTTGTGGTTTTAATCGTGCGGGAACGTGCGTTTAGGAACGTGTAAATTTCATTTTGTTAGTTTTTATCGGAATGTTATCTGGGAAACAGGTATTTCGTTCATATTTCATTTTTTAATCCAAATAAAAAAAAATAAAGCGCAGTTCACATAATTGAATGCAGAACGAACTAACTATTGCTTGTAAACAAGCAATATAATAAGCCGTACAATATTTTGTTCTCGTCAAATAGCGTGACTTATTGTGATGTTTTACTATATTTTTCCGAAGATCATTCTTGTTTGCTGCTTATTGTTGTAAAATATTTTTTTTAAATTTTCAAATAATCAAAAAAAATTTTTTTTTGTCAAATAAATAAATATTTTTCAAAGCTAATATATATGTTTAGTCGGTAAATGTACATCACGCACATGATTTTCGGGGTTTTGATTAACAGTATTTATCTCTGTAGCTTACTTTTAATTAATTTTTAATGTAAAACAATAATTTGCAATGTTGTTTTTCATGTTTTAGAGATTCATATATATTTTGAAGTAATGAAAACATATAGATATAACTTTTAAGTTAAGTCATTCCATGCTGCCATTTTTTCCCAATCGTACCCCCATTCTACATATTATGAAATCCAATTCAATCAAATTTTACGGTCCACCTTCTACTATCTTCTGATAGAACAAAACAATCCGTTTTTTTATGTCGGAGAATTATCTAAATAATTATTTATTATCTAAAATTATAAAAAAAAAATCTTACATGTATTTAGTACCAGAAATACCCATTTCTGTTTTTTTTTCAAAGTCGATGATATAATATTTTCATTTATAATTCCTTGAATATTAAATCAATATAAAGCCGTATTTCGTTTTGGAAATATCGAATCCTAAATAATTTCAACTATTTTGCGTGAAGAATCGTGCGTTTCGTTAGCAATCGTGTAACATGTAGAATCGTGAACGTGAAAGATCGTTCGTGTATCAGGTTTAATTGTGCGCTAATCGTGCGAAATCGTGCGAGTAACGTGATCATTCGTGTAAGTTGTCAACAATAACGTTCCAACCACTGTAATAAATCGGTTTTCAATAGCTCAGTTGGTCAGAGCTTTGGCGCTGGTTTTTTTTTGTGTCCCCGAATCGTACATCAATTTCTTCATTGTTAATATACTTATACACTGTACTTTCATTTTCAATTTACTACTCCAACGGGCTAATACAGTATACACTGAATACAATAGCCAGACCTCTTAAATAGGTAACCCTGAGCATCAGGTGATGGTTATTGCACACCCTGATTGGCCTCTTCTATACAAGGATGCCAACAAGTTTTGAACGACAGACAGTAGTAGGCCTGTGTTCAGAACCTGATGCCACAGATTTGTGTTTGGATTTAGTTATTATGCCTATAATACATAAAAGAGCAAAACACCCAAAAGACGACTTAAGTTTGATTGAAACTTGTAACTTTGTAACTTTGGGCACTTTTAGAGGCAACAACAAATAATGTGAATCATCTTAATAAACACAACACTAGACGATACACCTGCTCACACATCACCTGTTAACAAACTAACCACCATCATATCAGTGACTGTTATCTCTTAATGCTTCACAGTGTTCACACATTTACCAAAATTGTGCATTCTGATAGTAACCACCCAAACTCTGACCTCTATATTTACTTACAGCGTCCAGATCCTGGGATTTCCCCATGTTTGTGGACACGGTCTCCATCATCAGATACAGCGACACACACACCACGACAAAAAATGTGGCCCCCCAAACCACCACGTATTTCTTCATGGCGCCCCAGTGCACGTGGACGTTCGTGCTCTCTGGCTGCTTACGATGTATCTCTAAAACTCTTACTTACAGTGTTTATAGAGTCAATCAGAAACCAAAACGATTAAAGGTTCTGCAAAACCATGTAAACCTGTAACCAAACTCGATGACGTATATATACAGGTAGGTGTTTATGACACCCCGAACCCGATCCCTTTTTCTGTATCACAGAACCGTCACAGTGCATTGAGAACAGAGAAACTGACCATACCATCATGAGTAACCAATGAAATACTCCATTTATACGATACCATTGAATTGAAGGTATATGTTGAATGACAAACAGATTACACATGTAAACTGTTAAAGAATCGAAACAGATTTTTTTGCGGGGTGACAACTTTGCTGACCTACTTTCGTTTTGTCTGAATATTGTAAATCGGAATTGATTTACGTTATAAGAATAATTTTTAGATTAAAACGAGATTTAAAGAGTGCTGTTCAAGGGTTCTCCTAGGTTTTTATCTTGACAAGAAAAATGGGGGGGGGAGGGGGGCAAAGCCAATGTTTATAGACTGTCAAGTGTCTTTTGTGAACTTGATAAGCTGGTTTGAATCAGTCTAATGTAAAACCGTGCTATCTATTTTCTTACAGGAGTAAAACCTTAAACATGTACAACTAAAGAAAACTGTTAATTAATATGGGTTAGTTGTATACTATGCAATAAACAAAATACATAAATATATAAATATAAATAGCTCGAAGATTGTAACTTTTATATGTACAAGCCCTCATCTTCATTTTTTCTATTCAGGCACGTAGCTCCCTATACGCAAGTATGCAAGGGGCGTACACATCATTTTCACACAAAAAGGAAAAAAAAGAATGAAATAAAAGAGAGAGAGAGAGATTTATTCGAGAAAGAGCCACTATCCGTGTTTCAAATTATTATTTTGCGTCTTATTGTTTGTTTCAAATTTTGTTCAGCATGTCTGTACAGTCAACAGACAAATTTAGTTTTTTATATAATCAGTTTCAAAAACATATTTTTTAAAATTCTTGAGGGAGAAAATATTGTTGAACAAAAATGTTTGACTGTTAATCCGCATAATCCTGATTATCGGACAAATATTTGATGAAGGAAAGGGATCTAAGGGACTTTGATCTAATTAAAAGAAAAAGTTACAAAGGTCTTGGATGACTATATGCAAGATTTTCAATTTCGGATACGTTGAGGTATAATGAACATGATAAATAAATGTCCTTAAACAAAAAAATGGTAATATTTAAATTACGCTCAAGTAAATAATAAGATAGATCATGTATTAATATCTTCTTTTACTGATTTTACCAATTTATAAAATTATACTATTTAAGCATTCTCTTATTGTTTAAAGGTACTTGGACACAGATTTGAAGTTATTATTTTCTCTATAATATTACGACTTATATGTTTTGATAGCATTTAACACAAAAATTGATTAAAAATCTTATTTCGTTTAAAAGATATTGAAATTACAAATTTTTCGGCGGGTTTGATTGACATAACCTTGCACTCTCACAAATTTAATTTTATTCATAATCCGTAGGAAAAGTGGCAATCCCGTTTTGTTTAAATGAAAAATATTAATACTATAATCCAGAAAATTCAGAGTAGACACGTTCGAAAGCAAAACAAACACACAATATATTGTCATTCCGTGCAGTTTTAGTAAGCAGACTGTGACGATTGAACGCATCCGGTGAATTCTAAATATAAACAATAACAGAACTCGAGCCCTGTTTACAAAAACTGTGTACATAACACGAGTGTGCTCGATTTGCTAAACTCTGTACGCATCTCTTAGTTCGGCATGACGATGCTTGTGAAGGTGTTTTGCTTTCGAACATTTCTACTCTGAAAAAAAAATTATTTTTTTTTATATAAAAGTTTTAATATTTCTCATTAAAACACATCAAAATTGCCACTTTTCCTAAGGATTAAGAATAATGCTAAAATTTGTGAAAGTGCAAGGATGTGTCAATCAAACCCGCCAAAAAATTTAAAATTTTTATAACTTTTAAATGAAAGAAGATTTTTAATTAATTTTTGTGTGAAATGCTATTAAAATATATAATTCGTGATATTATACAGAAAAAATGATAAAATATTGACTTCAAATCTGTGTCCAAGTACCTTTAAGATATTAGAATACAAAGGCAATCAAAATTAAGACACCATCCTCCCCCAACACCCCCTGTTTATTTTTTTGAAATATTTAAACTCCAATGAAAACGATATTGAAATTACTTCTCTGTTTTATCTTGTCACACATAAAAACTTTTTTTCCAATACTTATATCTCTATGAATTAATTTGATTAAATTATCGTTCTCTTCCTGATGTAACATAGCTAAGTGCTTGCTCTTTCTCTCTCTTGTAAATTTCTCTGTTCAATAAAAACGATGACAACACATTGTGTTTTATACTTTAATTTGAATATTTAATATATTATTAATAATTATTGGAATGTTTTTCGGCAATTAAAATCATGTAACCGGTATTAAAATATTGATTTATTGTAGCACCTGAATTTAGAATTATAGAATAATAGAATAATTTCAATGCAAGGAAAAGATCTGAGGCATGTTGAATAAATCGTTAATCTTGTGTTCATCTTGCATTCACCGTTCGTTCACCGTTCACTTTGCGCTCGCTCTGTTCACATTTTGTGTTCATTCATCGTTCACACATCGTTCATTAAGTTGCGTTCAGCATTCACACATCGTTCACTCACAGTTCGCTCTGCGTTCGTTCACCATTTGCTCAACGTTCGTTCACCGTTCAGGTGGGAAATTAGAATGTTTCAGGGACTGTATAAGCCCTTACAGAACTAAACTTGCTGGATCTGAGCTTCATTTTCATTCCCAAGTAACTATAAGCCTGCCTGAACCAAACTTGCATGGATGATGCATCCAGGGATGGACACTACCAGATTTGCTTTGGATGCTGGATCTGACCTATATTTTCATTCCCAAGTAACAATAAGCCCTACCTGAACCAAACTTGCATGGATAATGCATCTAGGGATGGACACTACCAGATTTGCTTCGGATGCTGGCTGCTGGATCTGACCTATATTGCCCCGTGGGGATCCGGGTTAGAATAGGTCCTCAGTACCCCCCTTGCTTGTCGTAAAAGGCGACTAAATGGGGGGTCCTTCGGATGAGACCATACAAACCGAGGCCCCGTGTCACAGCAGGTGTGGCACGATAAAGATCCCTCCCTGCTCAAAGGCCATAAGTGCCGAGCAAAGGCCTAAATTTGCAGCCCTTCACAGGGGCGGATCCAGCAATTTTTGAAAGGGGGGTTCCAGGGTTGTGTCCCTCTAACCCCCCCCCCCCCCCCCCCCCCTCCTAAAAACTCAAGCAAAGATTCACACACATGTATGGAAAAATATGATTGTGGAAAATAATATCTTTGTTCTACGTCCTTTTTTCTTTGAAAAGGTACCCCCAGTCAGTAAAAAAATGTAACACATTTAAAAAACTACTGAAGCCTTAAAATTGAATGGATTTAAAATTATAGATGAATAAGTATGGATCCTTGGCTGCTCTCCACAGACCTTTGCTGTTTTTATCAAGTACATCTTATTGTAAATTTTGTTTTGAGGGTTTTAAGCAATAGATTTAAGTTAAAATATCTGTTTCGAACAAACGTGGATAACTACAATTACTGATATTTTAAAATAATTGTTTAGATATTCTTACACACTGTCGTTTTCACTCATTTTTTCTCAAAACATAGGGTGACCTTTGAGTACTGAGCTTTATTTACTCAATACTGTCAAACGTTTATTTAAAACGGTGAAAACTACCCCTGAAATGATGTCTATAATATTTGCCTATGTGTCTAAAAGTCAATTATTCTGTTTTCATTATGAGTGATTATTTGTTTAAATTTGGCAAACAGTACATTACTTGTTTTAATTTTTTTTTGGGAGGGACAGTACCCATTTTTGATGCCCATTATATAATTTTTCATCATTGAAATCTGATGTGTCTATAAATCAGGTATTTGTTGTTGTAAATTTTACATATTTCAGTAAATATTTCTTTGGGAATCTTTACAGCAGCTTAAACTGAATCGTTTAATTTCACTCTTGTTTACTGATCTTTACGATTCATTTTCATTGCAGTGTCTCAAATAGCCCTTGTTTTCCCAGCTTCTCACAATGAAATTATGTGATAAAAAGTGGTCACATAATTTTGTTATAAAAATTCATTAAAGATTCAATAATGCAAAAAAGTCAAGCTTAAAGTCAAATCAGAAATGATATCTGTTTTGTAAGTCATAGAGTTCAGGACATAATTAATGAACAGTCCTCTTATATTTATTAAAAAAGGAGAAAAATGAAATCTTGATAATTTGAGACCCTTTCAAATTTATACAGATGTATTTAGATCCCTATTAGTATTCATAATGTTGAAAATTTTGTCACATTATGTAATTTTATTTGTGTATTTACAAACCCAGAGTTACATGTAATATTAATAAAAAAATCCCAAGTGACATCGCAGGCCTTATTTTTTAAAATGAACATAAAGACCTGATACATGTATTCGATCTCTTTATCAAATGCGATATAAACTGAATATAAGGTATGGACATCACCATAATTTGATTACATTACTGTATGTGTATTCAATTTTCTGATTCAGTAAATAGTGATGCATCTGAAATAATTAATGAAAGTTTACCATGTGCGTATGAAGTGGACTAGGCCTCCTTAAAAAGAGACCATAATTAAATACTTGTAACAGAAAATTCGGTTGAAAATTTTTAATTCTCTCAAATGTAACAGTAATATTATATCCTTTGTAACCAGTTAAAATTTATTTGATTTTGAAAATTTCAGGGTGAAAATTCATAAATGCCATGGCAACCTCCTCTTACGCATCTACAGAGGAGACAACAAATGCCTGTAGAGCATGTCGACTTCTGCTGGGTCCATGTACAGATGAGTTACGTGATGTTTTACTTCACCATGTACCACTTTCTACATTTCCACACGTCATCAAACAAAAAAGGAGTAATCTCCCCCGTCTGACGGCACCACAGATGAATCTTATTTTACCCAGAGGTAGTAGTTATACAGGAAACTATGGTGATATGGACATTTCCTTATTGTACATACTACTTAGAAACATTTGTGGTATACCACCACACAGCAATGGCTGGGGATACGATCCAGACCCTACAGATCGATCTCTCTCTGCCAACATTGAGAGAATCCGTATTGCCAGAAATCAGTGTGTACATTCTTCTAGCCCAGTCCTCTCCAATGCTGATTTTAACATAATCTGGTCCACTGTCAGATCAGCAGTTGTGGACCTTGATTCTTTCCTTAATAACGGGAACAAGTTTGAGAGAGAGGTGGACTTTCTGAGACATGAGACAATGGATCTTGTCCGTGACCGCCATTACATAGAAGAACTGAGGAAACAGGCTGAAGAAGATGCACTAATTAGAGAAATGGTTCAAGCCCTGAAAAGTAAATCTGATTATTGAGTTTCATCTAAAGTTGAATACTGTTTTATTTTTTTCTGCTTTAAATGCTAACTTAAAAACTATATTCTCTGCCAGGAAAATTAGAACAGACTGAAACAGACAGAATTGAAAATCACAATAGAATACAGAAAATAGTGGGTGAGTACAATTATATTAAAAAAAGAATCCAGGAATAAGTTTTTGTACTTTTACCCTTTTGTGTACATAACTGTGAATACCAATGCTGAAGCAGTCTATATGTCATTCATGTAATTAAACAATAACTCGAAAATCAGCACTAAGTTGGTCATTTTCAGCTCACCTCAATGAAGTTGGGGGAGCTTATGTAATACCCTTGGCGTCGGTGTCGGAGTCAGCGTCCCAGGTTAAGGTTAAGTTTTTTTTTAGCAGTTTTCTCTTTAAGTACTTCTATGTCCTATATTGATTAGACATGCATGGAAGATGCTTCTAGTGTGTTTCATGGTATCAGTCAAAGTTTCAGATCCTGCAATTTCAGCAAAGGAATGACCAGGTTAATGTTTTTGGTGGAGTTTTTGGTGTAGGTCTCATTTCAAAGTATCTATAAGCCTTATGTTGACCAAACTTTCATGGATAACACATCTAAGGATAAACACTACCAGGCTTGCTTCGGATGCTGAATTTAACTGACATTTCCGGTTGAGTGAACAGGTTAATGTTTTTGGTGCAGGTTTCATTTCAAAGATAATGAGCATTATAATCACCAAACTTGCATGGATGGTACATCTTAGGATGCATACTAACAGACTTGCTCCAGATGCTGAATCTGACCAAAATTTTACGGTTGAATGAGCAGGATAAAGTTTTTGTTGCAGGTTTCATTTAATAAAGATACTATGAGCCCTATAATGACCTAACTTGCATGGATGTACATCTTAGAACGCATACTAACAAACTTACTTTAGATGCTGAATATGACCTGCATTTTCCGATTGAGTGAACAGGTTACTGTTTTTGATGCAGGAATTATTTCCAAGTAACTTTGAGCTCTTTTTAAAATAACTTAACTTGCAAGGATTATACATCTAAGGTGCATTTTTCCAGATTGGCTTCGGATGCTGAATCAGAAATACATTTTCTGGATTAGTGGAAAGATTTTTTATACAGGTTTCATTTCAAAGTGTGTTTGAGCTCTATGTTGAGCAAACTTTTTGTTTAATATGCATGAACTTTTACATAGAAGAGCGGCCAAACATATACATCCAGAGCTTTCAGAATACGATTTTACAAAATAAAAAATTCGTTATTGCCTATTTATCATAAAATATAAATTAAATTCTTTCCTTAATTATTGAATTCCTATGTATTTAACTAGTACTTAAATTATCGATTCGCTCTGATATTTGGTTGTATAATGATTACAATGTATACAAACGTCCATCTGGTCAGTCATTGTTGCTTGACGACGTCTTGTTTTCTCCTCTCACATTGGTAGCGCGTATGAACAGCGGTATGAACAAAATAAGCGGCAATTCACAAAAAAGGAAAACCAGAAGAATAAAAGTGTCTGTGTAGATGAAAAACACAACTCATTAATTTGTTTTTGAACGACCCCAAACGACCCCACACGTTTTTTTTTTCTCTCATGCATTTCGACTATACGGTAAAAAGATCACTAGAACCTTTGGTTATATTAAAAGAAAGGTGTTGGACCTTTAAACGGCACTATATCCGAACAGCTATTATACAGCCTATCAAATATACTTGTCAAAATTTCTAAGTCCCCACTTTTATTATTTTAAGTATTTAAAACCATTAACATTAATTAAGTAGTTGTTCACAATTTTGACTTAATTTTTCGCTGATTGTCTGTTACGGCCAAAATAAAATTGAAATCGAATGTGTAATTACTCATCCATGACCCTTTTTGTTAAAAAGCATGAAGTGCGAGTTTCATATGTTTTCGGGTGTATCTTCCATTTATTTAAATTTCCATGTGTTCTCCATCTTTAGTTGTTTAGGAAAAACAGAAAAAAAGCTTGTTTAAAATGCTGTGCATGTACGAACAACAATGCGCAAGTAAAGTTACCATGGTTCAAGCTGGTGGTAGTAAAGGAAAGTTGTATTTTCTTCGTTTGTATTTGTTAATTTTATGTACAACCATTAAAAATATCGTCGGGAAGGTGCACAAAGCTTACTTTTATTCCTTATAATCATTAAAAATTGCTAGATTTTCAAGAAATACCACTTAACCACCCTAGAGTTTAACCGGAAATTCACTCAAACCGGAACCGGAAGTGCTCATGGTCAAGGCGTATACACGTACTGCAACGACACCTCAACAGGGCTACTACATAAGAATTACTAACTATTGTGGAAGGAACCTATCTGCACGTGCAATTGCTCTGCACTCATTAAAAATTAATTCAAGTCTCCTTAATTATCCAAATTATTAGAAACAAACTGGAAGAGTGGGGGATGCGTTTAAGAAGACCTTATGTACTGTAGGATTAATATTGGGTACAAACAATTTCGGTAAGCTTCAATGTCATCCACATCTCAACCCTATAGAACATGAACGGGACAAGATGGACCAGAGATTGAGCGCTTTTCCAGCAGCAAAATCTGGCTAAAATATAGAGGAAGACCCAGTCCATACATGGAATAACCTTCCAAAAAGATTTTTCTTTAATTGTGTGAACTCTTTGAGAAGCAATTGTCTTGATCTTAATTCGTTTGCACGGAGGATAAAAACAGTATTGAACGTTGCGAATTTTTAATTCTAGGGTGCCTTCATTCTTCTGCATTTTGTGTTGAAGTCCTTCAATATAATTAGATTATGTGAAAAAAAAATGTTTTGCTTCTTTTTATCCTGTATAGTTTTCAATCTATATTGTCTGAATTATTTATTATAAA